TAATAAATGCAATATATTTGTCATGCCTCCAATATGCCTCAAGCTTTCCTCAGCCATTTCCAATTAAAGTTGGTCAGCTAAATCACTGTAAGCCAGGTTTCAATTTTAGAGTGTCCACACTAGGATTTAAACTATAAAAGGCATGTTAAAGTTGAGCTAAATCAGCAAAACTTGTAATGTAGATGACAACCAGAGCCAAGAATGAAAGTCAAGCTATTAAGTTTATAGCTTATTTTATGCCAATAAATTGAATTGAGTAGTCATGTGTCACTAATTCACTTCAGACCTATAATTCCACTATCAGCTATTACTAGTAAACATTCATTGCAGAAGAAAGTTATTATGCAGAGGACTCCCAGACAATTTTACACTGAAATGTTTATTCTCTTGACACAGTTAAGTTTCCATGGAAGCCCCTTGGAAGGTCAGCTAGGTACACAAATTTAGAATTTACTTCAACTGGTGAAAAATATGTACCCACCCACCTCAGTCTGATGCTCCTATTTATATTACATACCTGGGAATTTGTCACTCTTCAAGGAGATTCATGTCAAAGTGTCTTGCAAGTTCTATGAAGTACATCTAGGCATCTGATAATTATAAATACATTCTTGAGGACTCTGAAACCAGGAAAAGCTTCATGTGATCACAAGTAATTCCCTAACACCATAAAGTAAAACTAAGTATGGTAATCTGATGCTAGCACCAATGGTTCAAGTCAGTGAACCTGAAGAAAACATACAAATTTATTCAAAAAGGGAATTGTAACACATTAAATTGATTTCCTCATGAGTTTGTTCCTCCCGACAGGATCCAGAGAAGAGTTTTAATCTCACCTCTGGGTTTGAGAGAGAATTACTATACCCCTCTGTGTTGGCCACTTAAAGCACAGTCTGCCTTAAGAGGGCAAAGCAAAAAAGGGGAAATATTACTGATCACAAAATTCCTTTAACATATTATTCTCAAACTCACTGTAATTTAGTGATTTGTAGGTAATTCATAAAAATTCCTCTAATTTATCATCCAACTACCACAAAGTTGGAATCAAGGCAAACTAACTTTCATTCAATTAGAATTGCTTACTTCTCAGCAGAGGCACTTCTTCATTCCTAAGAGGTGTCTTCATGAGCATTTCAGTCAGGTGTGACCATTTATCTGCACAATATTTTTAAAGGACATGTTACTATGCAATGTTTGTTGAATTTTAAGTATTTTTTTATTTTCAATAGACAAGCAACATAAGATCACTTAAATTAGTGAGATCAAATGGCCATAATTTGGGGTTTTATTCTATAAAATCCCTTGTATACAATCCAACTACTAATAATCAAGTCAGATTCTAAAGCAAAAAAGTCAATGGTTCAAGTTTAGGGAAATAAATATTTGCTTTCCTAAACTGGCAGCCATTTAATCCATGGTCGGCCCTAGTAAGTTAAATAAATATAATATAAAAAGCCATGTTTCTGCAATAGATTATTATTAAAAAATACTAATAAAATAAGCAAAGATGATAGTTTTGTATTTATCTCACTTAATATGGCTATTTAATATCTAAAAAGTGAAAGTTCACCTTTAAAAAACATAGTAACTTTTCACTGGATTCTTAGATACATATTGTAACAGTATACATGAGGTACTCAAGCAGTGTAAAGATTAAAGCACATGGCAACAGTTACACACAATCAACACTATTAAACGTGACACGATTTTAAACTAGTAAAAAAAAATCTAGTAGAAATGTTTCCAACTTTTAAAAGAGTTCCAATAGCGAGCTTTGCCTAAGAATGTCTCTGCAGTGGGATGTTTAAGACACAGCCTTTGGGCAAATGGACAAGAACCAGTAAATGAAACGGGTTACTCAATTTTCATTGTCCACATGGAGACAAATGCCATTTGTTAAACAAACATTAATTGTGCAAGTTGCTCCCCCGCCCCCACATGATTTTCGAGGATTTGCAACATAGTAATTTAACGCACGTTGAGCAATGTATGGATCAAAAGAGACAGGATTAGACCTCATTAAAAATGCCAAATACTTTGCCAAAGCAGTTGCTCCGCAACGTGTTAAATGAATTGTTCGAGGAGCCAAGTGCGGGGCTAGATCAGTCTATGAAGATTTTGAGTTGGTTACGTTACTATCGCCAGTGCTGACGAAGCGAAGACAGCGGACCTGCGGTGCCAAGCAGGGCCGTTACCCCCCCCCCCCCCGAGCGATCAGAGGCGCGCGCAGGTACAGGCCGCAGCGGCCAGCCCGGAGCGGAGCCCTCACGCGAGCGGACCCGCCTCTACCTGCACAAAGCTCCTTATTTCTGCTGCCATGTCGGACATGCTCCCGGAGCGGCCACCCGCGGGGCCAGCCTCACCCGGCTCCCGCATCTACCGGCGATCCGGGGCCGCGGCGGGGCGCAGCAGAAGGGCACAGCGGGAGAGGCGCGAGAGCCGCCGGCGCAGCGACCCGCCCTCCCCGCCGCCCCACACCCTGCGCGGGCCCAGCTCCCCATGGAGGAGTCAGGCCGCACCGTCCCTGCTGCCCACGCGGCCCGCCGCAGCCAGGACCGACGAACCACCAAGGAGGGAAGAGAGGACAGAGAGCGAGCCCTGGCCTCCTGGGAGCTTAAATACCGGCGGGCAGTTACCGCGAGATCTCGCACGCTAGTCCTCGCTCTAGCCTCTCCGCGCGTTGGGGGCGGGGCAACCTTTAGGGGAACAGTCGGTGGCGCGGGGCGACTCCCTGTCCGCGAGTGCGCAACTATTGGTGGGGAGGAGGCACGTGACCTAAGCCAACCAGCGGGGTGATGGGGAGCTGCCGAGTGTTGTTCTCCCTTCCCGCCCAGGCTGCTGCGGGTGCGGGGCTGGCTGAGCCTGAGCGGCCGGGACGGCGGAGCGGGGCGTTTCCTAGCCTCTCGGCTAGGGGCCGGGGCGCTGCCCCCCGGGCACTAACCGCCGAGTGATGGGCTGGGCTAGGCCGTTCGCTGATGCTGCCCGGGGCTGGCTGTAGCCGGGCCTCGGCCTGGGACGCGCCAGATCATCAATGGAGTGACACAAACGACGGGCCAGGAGCCGGCGTAGGGGGATCGCCAGGGGCGGGAAAACAGGACTGCCCTGTTCCCTGCCGAGAGAGGTTGCAGCGAACAGCCCGGGGGTAGCCGCTGTGTAACTCAGACCCGCCGTGGTCACAGCTGCCGCCACTCAGCTTATGTATGATTTCCCATTGCTGCAGGAGGCTCCCAATGTATTTATCCTCAGACCACCCGTGTGGGTAGGAAGGGGTAATTACCATTACTTCTTCTCCCAAACACACACTCTCACTCACTCCACATGGGGCTCTGAGGCCCAAATCCACTGAGGCATTTTGGTACCTAAATACCTTTTAAGATCTGGGTTTAAGTGACTCATGCAAAGTCACTCGGGGAGAATATGGGAGAGCAGAAAATGAACCCTGTCTCTCAACTTAAGGCCCAGGCTAGTGCCCTAACTACTGGAGGAGCCTTCCTCTCCTAGTGGAGCACAGTGACTTTCACCTTGATTTGAGCTGAATAGTACTGAAGGAAGTGATGTTGGTCATCAGAGGAAAGTATTTTGAGGCGTCTGCAGCCATGGTGCAGTCTCTTGTGATTGAAGTTTTCACATCCACAATTGCTCAGTTTAGTCCATGGTCAGGTGTATTCGTGGATTTGCTGAAGCTGAGCTCTCACGTTGCAACAGCCACAAGTAACACTTTCTACCATCTCCAGTTAGCTAGGAGACTCCATCTCTTCCTGGCGGACAAGGATCTGGCCTCTGTTGTTCATGCTGTCACTTCTCAGCTGGACTACCACAATGCAATAGATGTGGGCATGAAACCTTTAGCACTTAGAAAACTCAAACTTGCACAACTACGACTAGCCCAAAATGCTGCAGCGCATCTCTTCAGCAACACAGGCTACCATGAGCATATCACACCTGTCCTCCACTCTCTACATAGGCTTCCCGTAGAATTTTGAATCAACTTTAAGGTCTCAGTCCTTATCTTCAAAGCACTCTGTGGCCTGGGCCCAGGATGCCTCAAAGGTTATTTAAAGCTCTGAGATGAAGACGGTTGAAAATGTTGTTCCTCTGGCACAAAAGAACAATAATTAGTAAGGATATGATTTAGGCACAGAGGTCAGGGATTCCATAACTAACGAACCTCCATGACTTCTTTGGCTTCGGCCCCCATCGCAATGGCAGGGCTGGAGCTGTTAGTGGCTGCAGCGGGGGCTGGAGTCCCCTGCGGGTGGTGGGGCTCGGGCTGTCAGTCCTATCCCCCCTGCAGGGTTCGGGCTTCAGTCCTGTCCCCCGGGCAGCAGTCCCTCCCCTGTTATTTTTAGTAAAAGTCATGGACAGGTTGTGGGCTTCCATGAATTTTTGTTTATTGCCCGTGACCTGTCCATGACTTTTACTAAAAATAACTATGACAAAATCTTAACCTTAGTAATAAGAGTAAAGCTTTTCTGTGGGAAACAACCTTCTTCCCTGGGAATTAAGGACTATCATAAAGTGCATCACTTTCTGCTCCATGTGCAAAGCACATTTCTTTGACCTCTAATATAAACACATAGAAACAGGTGTATTAAAAAAAAAAACCGACACTCTACTCCACACACTTCTCCCTCTGGGGAGAGGATAAGAGAACAAACAACGTGACAGATTTGCAGTCATGTAGCTTAATGCAGTACTGGAAGGCACTCAGATATTACAGTGCTGGTATAAAAACCTAGATAGATTAGAAAGTTACCCATATATGTCCTAATTGCTGACATGAAATGATGACTAGAAAGTGCTGCAGAGTTTTATGTATTTTAAAAAAAGTCTTTCAGGTGAGTTGGAACCACCAAGTTGTGCAAGAACTATGTCACTATTTGATATTATTTTCATTATCTCTCCACTTCCTTACTTTGTGATGGTCATTTGTTGCATCTTTTTTCAAATTAGGCCTAGTCGTGGCAGGTGCACCATGTGAGCAAACCTTATGCCCAGATAGATGACTGCACCCACATGGATTTACCCACATGGAATAATTTGTAGGACTGGGACATTTAGTTGTAGGAACCTAGTCTATTACATATGTTTGTACAGTATCTAGCACAATGGGACCTGATTTTGATTTGAACCCTTAGATGCTACTGTAATAAAAATATTTCATGAATTTATATCACAATTTGCATGCAACTACAGGGTTATTTTAAAATCATGCTGAAAATAGATCAGGTTCCATTTACAGCCCACATACTGTCAATATATCCTCTTAATTTTGTTTCCAGAATTTATATTCCCTATAATTAGCACATGTAGATTAGAGTTTAAAAAAAAAACTCTGGAGGAGGAGAAGAGTGCAAACAACATCCGTATGTCCTTTCCAGAGACAAACAGCATTTTGCAGTTTTGTTACAAACTTTAATTTTATGTTATTTTGTTCTTTTCTTGTTTGGTAAATTGCATATTTTGGACTTTGAAGGGTTTGGCTCATCTTTTTGTGCAAAATGCCTAATAATTAGCACTTATAAAGCACATTTTGCATATCTAAGAAACAAACTTGTAAAATTCACCAGTGCTTTTTCTTGCTGAATAAACTACCTGGTGAAGAGACTGTTTTTGCAACAATATGCAAGCTTCCACCTGGTAGAAGCCAGGGAATATTTTTAACTGAGTAGAGGATCACTAAAGATAAATATTATGCAAACAGATGAAGCTGTAGTTCCATATGCGAAAGCTGCCTTGTTGTTATGTTTTGTACAAAATTACTAATTTACATAAGGAACAAAGCTTTATGAAATGTAATTAAGCAGAAAGGTAGAAGCAGAAGTAGGTATATTATGAGATAATCACACCCCTAGGGTATTGCATCAAACTGATTGCAAAGGCTGTTCAAAACAGAATAAACCCAATAACTGCTACTGCCATAAAAATATAAACCCACTTTATTGATTTAGCCAGGCCTGGTTATATTTGATGTTAATATATATGCATCTATTTCATTTTGTAGTATTTCATTTTTTTAAAACCTTGTTATATTTTAACTACAAAAAACTAAGGTGCTTCAGCTTTGTTTTGTTTTCTTACTGAAATATCAGTCTCAATGGGAAAGAATAAAAAGAACAGTTATTTCAAAAGGCTGTCAATATTTCCTAACTACCAGCCAGTGTAATTTTTATGGCACCAGTTAACCAAGGTGGCCATATTCAGAGATGAATTTGGGCCAATATTTCTAACAGTAGAGTTTAATTCCCTGTGCATCATATTCAGCTGTAACTTAGAGATGGTGGTAAGACTTGCTAATTTTTTGTAGCAGTAGCTGGAGAGACACTAGCAGATAACCACCTTTTGTATCTATTCTCTTTTCAGAAAGGCAGTTGAGATTAGGGACTGTCATAAAGTTGACCCTATCTTCCACTGGATTCCCGGTCTGCTCCATGGTGGGACTAAACTCCCAAAAACAATCTGTTGGAAACATCTTATATTTTTCTATCTGCTGTGCCTTTTCTCTTTGTTTTGTCACAGGTGAGGGCAGTTCCTCTGTTTTTATATTAGCCTTTACTCAAATTCCCACTGACTTCAGGAGGACTCAGAACTGAGTAGTATGAGCTATATTATACCAATGATTTTTAAGTAGTCTTTCCCATTGAAATTAATGATGAAATGTATTTAAAAACTGATGGCATAATACAGCCCTGAATAAGGGGCAGTAAAGGATTTGGTCCAGTATTTATATAACATATAAGTTTTCATTTTGATTGTTTTAATTTGGACTAGTAAGAGACTATTAGATACTTCTCTATTTCAAGACAAAAATCTAGTTTTGAGGAAATAAGTGAATGGCTTGTGTTGCTGAAGTGTGCCTCTCCCCCTTCCCTCAACTGATGCTCTGAGTGGTAGGAGCCACACCCAACTTTGGCACAAATTTTGTGAACATTAGTGGTAAAATAATAGGTGGATTTTGGAAAAATCTCACCGAGCAAAAAAAGTCAGCCTCCAATATAAATAACCTTTGTATTCCAAAGAATTCATCTTATGTATGTATTCTTAGTCCTTCTGGTACTTCAGTTAGTATATGTTTCTACGAGGCACTGCATTCCATTCTAGGTGCGGCCGCCACCACTACCCCACCACTGACCGTGGACTCTGAGGATGGGATATTGTCGACGGCCACTTCCTCAGAGATGTTAGCAGACGGGGAAGATGAGGAAGGAGATGAGGATGAGGCAGTCAACAGCGCTTACAACACTGATTTCCCCGACAGCCAGGATCTCTTCATCACCCTCACAGAGATCCCCCCAAAAACCCTGACTATTTTAACTGAAATTACATTGATGTGCCATGCAAGATATGAAACCTGAAAAATTTAAAAAATCCAAACACACATTCAGTGTTGTTAGTGTACTGAGTCAACGTCCACTTTCTCTTACTCTTAAATTTGTAAATATTGTACATCATTTTGGCTGCTAACTCCCAATGAAATGCTCTTTTAACAGCTTGAAAAACAAATCCTTTAGTATGAAAGGGGCTAATTTTGCTTCTTGTTTAGCACACATTTTTAGCCAGGCCAGCTGACCCATTTCTGAACCATGTTTTGTTGTAATAA